TAAATATGCTAGCAACATGCTAATCATGCTAGAAACGTGCTAGCGACATGTTAGTAACATGCTAATCATGCTAGGAACATGCTAGTAACTTGCTAATCATGATGGGAACATGCTAGTAACATGCTAGTAACATGCTAATCATGTTATGAAACATACTAGTAACTTGCTATTCATGATAGCAACATGCTAGTTGTTAATCATGCTAGCAACATGTTAGTAAAATGCTAATTATGCAAGAAACATGCTTGCGACATGCTAGTAACTTGCTAATCATGCTAGAAACATGCTAGTAACTTGCTAATCATGCTAGTAACATACTAATCATGCTAGAAACATGTTAGGAACTTGATAATCATGCTAGGAACAGGCTAGTAACATGCTAATCATGATAGGAAAATGCTAGGAACTTGATAATCATGGTAGGAACAGGCTAGTAACATGCTAATCATGCTAGGAACATGCTAGTCACTTACTAATCATGTTAGTAACATGCTAATCATGCCAGCAATATGCTAGTGACAGGCCAATCATGCTAGAAACATGTTATCAACATCTATCTAATCTACATTTTCAAACTTCAGGCTTTTACAACTGCTTTAAACTTTCAGGCTAGGCTTTCTCAAGCCAACCTAAAGTTTGTCTTGACAAACTTTTTTATCTAGTTATTATTAAATATTGTAAGAATTCCTTTCTTTCTGGCTCTCCGTACAGGTGAGCCTGGTGTTGAACGGTTGGCCGGTGATCTCGGCCTTCGCTGGCGATCAGGATGTGACGCGTGAGGCAGCGACCAACGGCGGTCTGGTTACGATGGAGAGAGGAGACAAGGCCTACCTCAAACTGGAGAGAGGAAACCTGATGGGCGGCTGGAAATACTCCACCTTCTCCGGCTTCCTGGTCTTTCCCTCATAGAAAGAAGTTCACGCAGAAAACTGATCAAAAGCGCACATTCAGCAGAAGGACGTGTTCACAAGTGTTCAGACAAGGACGCTTCTTCTGTTCCTGTACTTACACACGCTGCTGGGCTTCTTCCTCTGCATCTTTTCTATATGCATGAACCTGCTTGTTAAGGTCAGGGATGCACGTTATATTCCACTAACAAGATACAAAATGGGGTATAAAAATGTTGCTTTCTGACAAATAATCAGTGAACGGTGCTAAACCTTAAGATTGGGGTGATCATCGTCAACCTGAGGACGTCAAACTAAATATGATATAATATATTCTGTTTTCTTTTCATTTTGAATTTGCAAATCTTGCAATCCTGTAACCTGCATTTGGGACGTTTTTGCTATTTTCAATTAACATTAAATAAAGAGTAAAGCAGAAAATTTCACAAAAATAAAAACACACTAGGTAGGGGAAACAAGGACACACTCAAAAAATTGAAATTCATGCAGGTTGCACACCAATGAAATTCCAATTTTTAGTGATGAAGCATTTTACATATATTTTTGCTAACGAAGCATATATATCCATTGGGCAGATTACGTATGATTTCAATTGTTTGATGCAGGTGTGAAAGTCGTGACATCTGAGGTTGAATAGGACATAATTGATGTTTAAAACAAATTATTCCAACTGTACAATAAAATTCTGATGTGTTGAAGCATGAATGATTCTAAATTGGAGCCTCCTTTGTTTTTAAACAACAGATGAAAGGATATAGATTTATAATATCAGCCATTACGACATAACTGGTCGTTATAAAAACAATTATTGATCATCCTTATTGGCCAGAATTAATATTCAGGTGAATCCCTACATGGTGCGCATCCATAAAGCATCCTAAGGCAAGACACTACAGGCAAAACTATCATTTTTTTTCATGCATTTGTCAGTTTTGAGACTTTTCCATAATATTCTTTTAAGCTAGTGAAAAAAAAACATCCAAACTACACATATAAGTGTTTATTTTATTACACTTTATCTATCTATTTTTGTCTGTGGATTTCAATTACAGCACATATCTTTAAAGGTAATTTCTTTCAAAACGAGTTTTTATCTCCACTTCAGCAAACACCAAACTTAGTAGTTTTATTCCTCTCTATACTCCGAAGGTTTTTACTGAGGGGTTTGTTCATATATCATTTGCCTGATTTTATACAATATTTTATTCCAAATGGTAAAATTGTATTAGTTTTCTGTCATCAATTAGTTATTATTTCTATTCATCTGTAGTGTCTTGCCTGTAAAACGAGTCGTGATTCGTCTGGTTTCATTCTGCCATGAAGGTCAGAGAGTAAATGGACACAAATGGCTGCAGAGTCTATTTATCATCATTATCCGCCATCTGTTGTTCTGGCTACAGACGTCAGAGACAAAAAAGCGACTTCCTCCAGGCCTTTCGAGGACAGCACATGTCCTGTTCTGGCTTCAAATATTCATGATGTGAATCATATGAAAACATACCATATATTTTTTTTTAAAGGAAGCATTAAAGGGACAGCTCACCCAAAAATGAAGATAGTTTGAAGAATGTTGGTAAGCGAACAGTTGACGGTAGCCATCGACTTCCATAGTATGACAAAAATAAAAAGGACCTTTTTGACATTTCCGGGTCTCTCAGCAGCAAGAAGCCGTCATAGTTGGGTTAACTTCGAGAGCAGTGAATATATTTTTTGCGTTCCCATTTGCTCAAATAGCAAAAGAAAAGCACGACTTTTAATCAAAAGAAACAAATGAGAGAGACTGACAACGGCAGTCAGAAGAGAGAACGATGTCAAATTTTCCGTCCCTGCATTAAAAACACCCTCGTATGGAAGCCCGTTTCCACCACTGAATAAAAAATAAAAAAGGTAATTGTGTCTTTTTATCTCAAAATTCTGACTTTTTTTCTCATAATTGCGAGATACAAACTCGCAATTCTGACTTTTTTCTCAGAATTGCGTGCAATTGCGAGTTAAAAAGTCGTAATTGTGAGATATAAACTCGCAGTTCTGAGAAATAAAGTCAGAATCACGTGATATAAACTCGCAATTAATATTTATTAGACATAAAGTCAGAATTGCAAGAAAAAAAGTCAGAATTGCGAGATAAAAAGTCGCAATAACCTTTTTTTTATTTTTTATTCAGTGGCGGAAACGGGCTTCCATACCCTTGCATTAGC